GCCTTACATGGAGCTCCTTATGGGGCCACGAAACGCTTTACTGGGTGTGGCACCCGCATGTGACCACCCCCACTGGGGCCGCAGGTGGAACTCCCTATGGGGCCACGAAACGCCGCACTGGGTGTTGCGGACGCATGTGGCTACGCCCACTGGGGCCTTACGTGGAGTTCCCTATGGGGCCACGAAACGCTGTACTGGGTGTGGTGGACGCATGTGGCCAACCCCACTGGGGCCTTACCTGGAGCTCCCCATGGGGCCACGACTGGGTGTGGCGGACGAATGTGGCCACCCCCACTGGGGCCTTTTGCGTGGACCTCCCTATGGGGCCAAAAAACGCTGTACTGGGTGTGACGGACGCACGTGGCCACCCCCACTGAGGCTTTGGGTGGAGCTCCCTATGGGGCCCGACGCGCTGTACTGGGTGTGGCGGACGCATGTGGCCACCCCCACTGGGGCCGCAGGTGGGGCCACGAAACGTTGTACTGTGTGTGGCGGACGCATGTGGCCACACCCTCTGGGGGGGGACGAGAGTAGGAGACGCGGGGACCGTTTCTTCAAAACGAAGACCCAACACCACAGGATGGTTGAGAATTACACGAGTTTCACGGGTTGGGGGCGAGTCGTTTTCAAAATGTGGTTCGCGCCCAAGCGCCGCGCGCATTCGTTTCTTAAATTCGCAAGAGATTCACGGATTGAAGGCGGCTCATTTCCAAAGTGTGGCTCTCGTATTAGCGCCGCACACATTCGCTCCGAAAATATGCAAGATGAGATTCACAAGCTCCCTTCATCACCGTACCAGGCATGCTATGTTGGAAGGGTTCAAGACCATGCGGGTGTAACAGTTACATTGGTTCTCTGCGCTGAAGTCCCAGGAACGGCGTTCTGGCATGATTCAGGAGTGGCGTTGCAATCCCGAGATCAATGTTGTGGCATGCTCCACGGTAGTCAAACGGGTGTCGTCCAACGAGACACTCCCATCAATGGGCATGGACTGTCGTAGGGGCCGTTGAAGAGGCAGCTTGGAGGGAGGGTATACTCCAACATCGCTGATGCTTCCTGGGTTTACATTGGTCCTCCTCCTCCTCCTCCTCCTCCTCGTCCTCCTCCTCCTCAGCATCGTCATCCCCATCCCCATCATCATCATCCTCATCATCCTCATCATCATCATCATCATCATCATCATCATCATCATCATCATCATCATCATCATCATCATCATCATCATCATCATCACCATCCGCCTCCTCCTCCTCGTCCTCCTCCGCCTCCCCTTCCTCGTGTTCCCCCCTCCCACTCCTCCTCCTCGTTCCCCCCACTCATCCCCCTCATATGCGTATGACGAGTGGTATTATTATTAGTGGTGTTATGGCTCTTCTCAGTATTCGTATTATTCGTAGTATTATTGGTAATAGTATGATTGGTGGTAGTAGTAGTAGTAGTAGTAGTAGTAGTAATAGTAGTAGTAGTAGTAGTAGTAGTAGAAGAAGAAGTAGTAGTAGTAACAACAGCAGTATCTCGATTAGCAGAATTATTGACATCATTGATCGTATTACTTTTTTGGGTTTGGTTAGTAGTAGTAGTAGTAGTAGTAGTAGTAGGAATAGCGTGAGTATTGTTAGTATGTTTAGCATGATGAGCGTTCGTAGTATCAATCGCATTCTTAGCATGAGTAATAGAACTGTTACTATGGTAGTACAACTATTACTAGCGCCAGTATTAAGTCTTACGTTGAAAAAATGACGATAACAGTTCTATCAGTTGTACTATCAGTTGTACGATTACTACTAGTATTAGTATTAGGATTGGTAGTAGTATTATTATTAGTAGTAGTAGCAGTAGTAGTAGTAGTAGTCGTATTACTATCAGTACTAGTCCTGGTACTAGTCGCGTTTTCTTCTTATTAATATCACTAGTATGTGGATTGGTCATGGTCGTCCGCCTCCTTCTCCTCCTCCTCGTCCTCCTCCTCCTCCGCCACCTCCCCCTCCTCCTTGCCCTCCTCCTCCTCCTCCTCCTCCTCCTCCTCATCGTCTTCCTCCTCC